CCCTGAGACCTGGAGGCCTGGGTCAGTGTCAGACCCATCTCTATCTCTCAGCCACCCAGCACCAAGGAGTCATTCCCAAACTGATGGTTAGACAGAGCAGTGAACCCATCTGCTGCCCCACCAAGCTGAGGTCTCCAAAAAACCAGGGACTCTCTGAGGCATATCTCCCCACACAGAGCAGGAATTCAGATCAATCAGCAACTGACTGGGTGCTAAGACTCCATGCAGAGGTTCCAGAGCGAGCGTGTGGTCACTGTTGTGACAATTCACAAAGCACTGTGATGTCCACACTTGCCTGGGCCTTGCACAAACTCCGTGGTAAATGCCATCACCCCTACGTCGCATGTCAGGAAGCCCAGGCTCAAGGAGTAGAGGGGCTTGCCCGAGGTCCCAGGGCCAGGTACGCATCCCCATTTTCTGCCTCCACAGCTCATGTTTCAGCCACTGCCCTGTGACTGAGACTGTCCTTCACAGGCCTTGCCAGACCTTGCCCCAGACCTGGGGCAGAGCAAACAGGCAGCGCCAACTCAAAGAGCAGCCCTCTGTCCGAGCCCAGGGCTGGCCTCCCCTGCTCACATCTGCTCTGTCTCTGTGTCCAGAGCCTCTGGCGGGCCTGGCCCAGAGCAGGAAGGACCAAAGACCGGCCCGGTGACACATCTAGGGTTTTCCCACCTGCTGCAAAGGAGTTTACGCTCAGGCCCCTTCCGACTTTAACCCCCACCCCATGCCCAGGCTGGCCGCGTAGGGTAAGAGTTCTCCCCCCCTCGCCCATCTCCGCGGCCCCACTGCGAGCCCCTAGGAGGACCCCCAACAAAGACCTGGCTCTCTGGCCTGGTCTGGCTCACTCATCCATCTGGAGTCCCACCACCTTGGGTTCAAATACTGGCTTCTCCAAATAACTGAGGGACCTGAGACACGGGGCTGGCTTCACGGGTGTGTGACCCGTACACGTGCCCCAGGCCCTGCCCTCAGAAGGGCCCCCAGGTGGTTGAGTGTTCAGTTGCCTCTGTCTTGAAATTTTTAATTTTTGAGCAAGGGCCCTTCATTTTTATTTTGCACGGGGTCTCACAATAGGTAGTTGATCCTGCCTGGACAAGTTCTTGAACTTCCCTGAGCCTCAGTTTCTCTGGCTGCAGAAGAAGCCAACTTCTGGAGCTGCTGTGAGGCCAGTGGGTGAGAAGATCCTTTGTCCAGCTGTAGAGGCCTGTGCCCTGGGAGGTTTTGTTCCCTCCAGGAGGAGAGGAGAGGCTTTAGAAAGACCCAGTAGCTCTCTTGGATAGACTAGAGGGCTCACAGAGTCCAAAAGGAAAGTCTTCAGCTCCCTGGGACAGCACTCTGGGGTTCGGCTTTGCCCCGTTCCCCCTCACACCCCCGAAGGTATGGCGCCTGGACTCCAGCCGCCCTTGGCAGCGTGGGCTCCTGGATGGGGTGTGGCCTCACAGGGCAACCTGCAGCACCCCCTTTGCATCCCCCACCCTGAGAGCCAGAGACAACACCACTGCAGTCCCCAGCCCATGTTTGCCGTTTGCATTCGGGGTGAGCCTGCAGTCAAAAGAGAGGACAGGCTGTCCGGTTTCTGCATCTGAGACAGTGGTGGCCCAGTACCAGGCCCGGGTGGCCTCTAGTCTTGGGAAACAGAGAGGCAAGGCTGCTTTTTGAGGCGGTCGGAGAGAGCGGTCCAGGGGGAGGGACCCAGGCTGATGCCATCCAAGGCAAGGAGCTCCTTCAACAGCCTCTGCTTGGAAACTCCCGGGGACAAAGCTCTCAGTGCCACCCAGGCTGGCCCATCCTGTAACTGTAGACTTCAGTCCCCAACCCCCGCTTGAGCCGAAAGGACTGGGTAGACTTTGTCATCCTCCCTTCTGTGCATATTGCATTGTGCCGTGTACAACTGCTAACCTCAGAATGACACAGCCACCAACCCTGCGCTGTAGAGGGGATGCTGGAGGCCTGGCAGGTGCAGTGGCCCAGGCAACACAGAGGACAGGCTGGTAGCTGGTTGCTCAGTCCACTGCCCCCTCCCCCGCTCAGCACAGGGCCTGGCCTCAGTAAGTACTGGCTCTTGGCATTATTGCACGAGCCTGGACGCACACCCAGAGTGAGCCGGTGGTCCGGAAGAGAGGGACCGATGGCAAGACTTGAATGTCACTAAGGAGGACTCTGGTCGTCTGACCCAGAATGGCAGCAGTTAGGGGCAGGGGCTAGAATCAGATGCTAAAAAAGTAGCAAGACCAGGCCTGGGGGCCCCAGGCGAAGGGGTGGATGGGGGCAGCATGCTCAGAGGCGGGGAGCCCTGGAACAGGAAGCGTCAGGGCAGAGTACGGAGAGCACAGTACCTGCTGGCGCTGTGGGGTCCTGGGGCTGGGGCTGTCAGGGGGGTTGGAGTCAGACCCAGCAGGTCCCACCGGCTCTGCCACTTATGAGCCGCACAACCCTGGGTGGAGTCCTTGCCCGAGAGGTGGAAGGGGCAGGAGCCGCCTCACAGAGCTGCTAAGAGCCTAGGGGACATGAGGCTTGGAAGGCTGAGTTGGGACTGGAGCGGGTGACCCGCCATAACCAAGTGCTGTGGGATGAAGGGGTCAGCACCCAGAACAGCCCATGGGGCCTTCCCTGGGGGCCCAGAGCCACCCTCTCAGAACCTGAAGTTTAGGCACCAAACATCGTCTAGGGCAACATGGGAGATTAAACATGTGCACAGTGCAGGGGAGAGGCTAGAGAGTGGGTGACTCTCCACGCTGACCCCAGCCCCCTCCTGGCCTCTGCCTCCCCAGTGGGTGCCAAGGCCCCTCAGCTCTGGAAGGCCAAGATTCCGAGACCCACCAGGGCCTCTGGGGATGCGAAGGGCCAACAGGAGCCCCTTTGGCCAGGACACTTCTCAGGGACACAGCCCCCAGTGCCCACCCCACACTCCACCTCCACTACCACAGAGAGGCCCAGTCGCCATCACTGTCGCCGAGTAAGGTCACGGCTCTACCCCAGCCCCAGTTCTTCAGGGCCTGAGGCTGAACTACCTGCACCTGGAGAGCAGGCAGCCCCTCGGGCCCCTCTCCACAGAGGGGCTGTCCCACATAAAAGGCTGAAAAGGCACCTGGGACCTGCGTTGGCTCTTTGATTTGGGTCCGGGAGGCAGGATTTCCTCTCTGGTTAGAAGTCCAGGAGGGAGAAACTACCATTTGCGAAGCAACTCCAACCTGCCAGGACCCAGACCAGGTGCTTCACATGGGGAGTTTGATCCTCACCTCAGGCCCGAGAGGGAAGGTTTGTCGTCCTCACCTGCCAGGTGTGGGTGCTGAGGTCCAGCCCAAGGGCTAGCCTGCCTCGGTCACTCAGTGAGCAACAGGGCCAACGCTCACACCCTGGCCTGCCCACCTCCACTGCCCCAAGAGGGCCTGAGCAGGCCATACGCCAGTCAGATCCTGGCTCCCACTAACAGAGGCCAGCATAGTGCAGGGAAGGGCGGTGGCCTTCTTTCTGCACCTGGGGCTCGGGAAGCTCCTTGTGGAGGTGGCCTTTGAGCTGGGCCTGGGGATGCTAGCAGGCAGGAGGTCCCCACACCCCTGGGCCAGCAGACACAGAGGCAGGAAGGCTCACAGAACTGCCCACACCCAGCTGGAGGGCTAAGATTTGTGGAGACACACAGAGAAGAGTCAGGCTCGGGAGGCTCGTCTTTCAATCACGGTTACAGCTCATCCTATCATGGTGAGGGCATTAGCCTCGAGAAGCAGGGCCAGTGGCCCTCTGCCACCCATAGCCCCTGTGCTTGGGATGCTCAGGACGACACCTGCTGTGCCCCCCTCCACCCGGCAGGATCACAGAGATGCACCCTCACACACACACACACCCAGAAGGGAAAGCCCGATTTCCCCCCCTCCCGGCCCTGCCCACCTCCCCCCCACACACACACACACATACCCACAAATTGAAGTTCAAAGGAAAGGCATCATGAATTTGGTATAATTAGCTGCAGGGACTCCTGGGGTATGTATTCAGTGATCACTCCTGTGGGAATGCAGACACCACAGAAGGACAGACGGAATAAAGCAGTTAGGGGGAACCTTCAGGGAAAAGGCACACGGCCAGGTGCCCAGAGGAAGCCAAGGTAGGCGGGCAAAGGGTTTCGGGTTATAAAAGATGGGGCCCTTGGCTCTTCGGTTCCCAACATCGAAGAGAAGAGGAAAGCCCACTCAGGCACAGTTCCCACAAGATCAAAGCACACAGATGCTTGGAAAGAAACCCAAGTTGAAAGGCTCAGAGGCCCAGGAACGGGCTCCTCCGTGTGCGGGCCACCTGCGCCCTGGTGACCCAGCTCTGCCAGCCCCTTCTCCAGGCCTGGGGAGGATCATTCTCACCACACGATGGGTTCGGTGACCTAGGCTCTGCCCCAGCCTTTCCAGGCCCTTTGAATTTGCAAAGGGAATAAAAACACTAGACAAGCTTCAAGTGGACAAAAACCAGACGCCTTTAGCTTATGGCTCAGTGAGAACAGATGTTGAGCTGAGTGCCTCATCAAGGTGATGGATGGTGTGCAGGCTCGGGGAACCCCTCCCTGGAAACTCCACAGCCAGGGCCACAAGCCAGTCCATGCTGAGACCAGTTTGGGAGCCCCAGGGACCGCGAGTCTGAGTTTGGAGTCCAAGTCCAGGCAGGACAAGGGTTTAGGAATCTGGCCCTGGGCAGCTAAATACCAGCCAGGCTGATCTCAGCAACGTTGACCTGTTGGCAGTGACCTTTACACCAGCACAGCCCTCTAGTGTGCAGACGTTTACCTATCCGTCACCTTCGTCAAAGTGGGTCCTCCCTGGCAGCCCCACAGGAATGGTGCCATTCTCCCATTTTACAGATGGGGAGCCTGAGGCTCAGGGAAGCCCACAGCTAGAGAGGATCAGCCAGAACTCAAATTCAGGTGTCCTGTCTCAGGTGGTCCCCCCACGGATGGAGAAAGGTGGTGGCCGCCATCGGAGGAGACTGAGCATCTCTGTCTCTCCCCCCCCCCCCCCCAGAGACGTGTGCAGTAAACAACGGAGGCTGCGACCGAACCTGCAGGGATACGGCCACTGGCGTGCGGTGCAGCTGCCCGGTGGGATTCACGCTGCAGCCCGACGGAAAGACGTGCAAAGGTCAGCGTGGAGCCGCTCGGGCAGGGGCGGGGGCTGCCTGTGAGGGCGGGGGGGTGCCGCGCCAGGGCTCCCCAGCAGGGTTCAAGGGAACGCTGCCTTGATAGGGTCCTGCTGTCCAAGGAAAGGACTGCCCACTGCACTAGGCTAACGGTGTCTTCACTGCAGGATCTCCTGGGCCCACAGTGACTCATCGTGGCCCTGGGGCGGGGAGGGGGGGTTGGCCATCTCTTCACCCCTGCCCTCATGGTCGCACCTGGCGGAGCTGGGGCAACAGCACAACCCAGGGAGGTTTGGGAAGGACAGGTCTCCTTGTACCGGGATGGGACTGTCTTCTTGCCACTGTTAGAAAAATGAGGATGCTATGTGTCCTTGTCACTGGAGGAGTGACAGTGACGTGGTGGGGCCTCTCAGCGGGGGACTGGGGAGGCAGAAGGACCTCCATTTGCAATTAGAAACGAGGCTCTTGGGAGGATGGGAGAAGCTGGCGGGAACGGGCCGAGCTCCTGGCCTCTGGAAGTGAGAGCAGGTAGGGCTTGCTCTGTTCCCGCTTGTTCCCTGACTCACCCCACAGAGATCCTGAGTGCCTCCAGGGGTGCTTAGGGTGTTAGGGGTCCCTCAGGAAACAAGAAGTGAGGGGAGCGGGGAAGTGAGAGCTGGCTGGGCTCTGGAGACTGAAGGGGCCACCCTGCAGCCCTGACAAAGGAGCCCTGAACAGCCACAGCCATTGGGCAGGGAGTAGAGGGGACCACCAGAGCCCCCTGCAAGGGAGGGGGCTGCAGCCCCGCAGCGCCGCCCGCTCAGCACCAGACTGGCCCTTCAAATCCCTCTGCCTCTGGCCCCCTGCCTCCCACCTTGCCAGGGAGCAGGCCAGGCTGGGGGGCCAGGAGCGGAAGGGAAGAGGACTTGAACTTCCCAAGTCCAGTGGGTGAAGATACGGACAGCGGAGGCTTCCGGTGGTTTTAAGTAGTCCGAGGGGGCCTTTTTTTAAGCCTGTAAAAATAGATAGCATGTGACTTCTCCTTCCTAGCTGCTCTGCTGGGAAGAAACTAGGGATTATTGACAAAAATAACAGTCCTTCCACCTGTTTATTTGAAAATAAAGCCCTTCTGTAGCCCCTGCTCAGCCCACTTGGAGGCGAGTGGCAACATGTGGACTCAGATGCCAGGGGGACCGGCCAGGGCTCCCCGCGGTCCCAGCCGTCCCCATAGCCAGAGGCGACACAGCAGGCCTGGCCCCATGCCCTCAGAGCTGGGGCAGAAGAGTTTAAAGTCAGGCCACGCCGCCTGCCTCCCGGGCACGGGACCACAGGCGGGCACGTCTCAGTTCCTGACGTGAGGCTAGGAGCTGGTGCCAGGAGCCAACCTGTCCGCGCCCACAGCCGTGCCCAAGCAGAGCACCTGCGGGGACCTCTGCTGCCCCCGCCTGGCCTTCGGTGGCCTGGGGGGACACCTGTCCCCGCCTCACCTCCACCTCATGTCTGGGGGAGGGGAGGTGCTGAGGGGAGCTCCCCACAGCCGGAGGCCCATCCTGCCAAGCCCCCCACCCAGCTTCCCGTGGCTCCTCCTGAACCACTCCAGCCCTTTAACACGGCTGTCTCCACTCAGCTCTTTGCCCTTGCCGGGACCCACTCCCTCCCACTGCCCCGCACGCGGGAGGTCCTCTCATCCACTCACATACCAGATGGGGTTTCTGGGCTCCTCCCCTGTGCAGGGGCTGGGGAGACAGGTGAATGGAGCAGACCCTGACCCTGGGGATCTTCAATTGGATGCAGAAGACAGTTTTTCAGTTTTTAAAATCGGAGATAAACGTGTATTACCGACTGCTTGGTGCTGGATGGAGACGTACAGCCCAGCAGAAGAATGAGGACCAGAGCCTGCCCTGCGCCGGCGGGGAGGGCGTGGGGAGAGGCATTCGTCGGGGCAGCCTTTCCAACAGCACCGGGGCTGCGGTGCAGAGGCCAGGGATGCAAGGACCCAAAGGGGTCCAGTGTGCCCAGGTGTGTGAGATGTGGGGCAGCCCAGGCCAGATGGTGCAGGGCCTGTGTGCTGGGCCGGGGTCGGCCCTTCATCCTTCCAAGCCTTGGCGAGACCCCCAGACACTCCAGGGCAGGGAAAGCACAGACTCGGGTTTTTCTTTTGAGCCGGTCCCCGACCACGGCTTGGGCGGGGTTCTCTGGGCAGGGGCTGGAAGAGCAGCGAGGCGGCTGCTGTCGTCACCCAGGCTGGGATGACATGGCTTGACCCAGGTGCTGGCCACGGTGGTAGAGACGAGCAGTCCAGATATTGTCCTCAGAGGTAGAATTTTGGTTTTTTTAAGATTTTATTTATTTGACAGAGAGAGAGACAGCAAGAGAGGGAACACAAGCAGGGGGAGTGGGAGAGGGAGAAGCAGGCTTCCCGCGGAGCAGGGAGCCCGATGCGGGGCCCGATCCCAGGACCCTGGGATCATGAACCGAGCCAAAGGCAGACGCTTAACGACTGAGCCACCCAGGCGCCCCTTTCGGAGTTAAAATTTAAGGAATGTGGGACTAGACAAAAACTGCCTAATATCCTCAAATCAGGGAACACTGGAAAATGAAGGCTGACCTCCAGACCCCAGGTTTGGCGTCTCAGAGCCTGGAGCGCACAGCCTGAGCTCCCCAGGTCGGACGGGAGAGGTGCAGGTCAGGGCGCGGGCATTTGGCAGGACAAAGCCCAGCTGGGAACTCCCGGCCCAAGGCTTCAGCTCCCCAGTGGGCGTGCACATCCTGGTCCTGGCAAGGGCCCAGAAGGGGATATCAAAGGAGTGATTTCAAAGGTTCAGTGTATTCTGGAAGCCAGAAGCCATTGTGAAGCGAGAAGGCTGGAGGATGAAGGTAACAAAGGTCCTGGAAAATCCAGAGCTGAAAGCCCTGAGCACACAGGGGTCACACAGGCAGGTGGAGACAGGCATGGCAAAGTAGGGGTTGTTCTGCCTGAAACATGGGGGCTGTGGTGCAGGAGGATTTGTCCCAAGCTCTGTTTCAAGAGTGTGGGCAGTGCAGGGGTTCAGCCTCAAGGCACCCTGTTCCCCTGTTCGGTGCTGCACCCGCTTGATATTGGGAAGGGGGCACCTTGATGATTGGACCTTCTGAGAGGAGGGAGTTCTGGGGCCTTGACTCCCGGAGCTGGAACCTGGATTTCCTCAGAGACACCGGCCCCTCCTCCCAACATCTTCTAGAACAATCTGGGAGAACTCCCACCCACCACCTGTTTCCTCTCCTCCCTCACCTGCCCTCTGCCCAGCAGCGCACCCTCCCCACGAAGCTGCTCCAGGGTGATGCCAGCCCACTCCCACCCGGAAGCCCTCCACATGGCTCCCGGCTTGCCACGCTGTGCCCCCTCAGCGGGAATGGGCAGAGGGGAGCAGGAGTATTTGTCCTCCTGTGTGTTCCTATATAGCTCCTCCCCCTCCCCCTGATGCCTGAACTGACCGGCCGATGCCTCCGAAGGTCCTCCTTGGCGGCCCAAGACCCAGCCCTTCTCTCCGATTCCTTCATTCTTCATCCACTCAGTGAATGCTGCTGGGCAGTCGCTCTCTGCAGGCCGCATGCTAGGCCCAGGGGCTCCAGACAGGAGCCAGCTCCCCCATCTGTGTCCCTGACAAGGGGACAGCGAACTCTGGAGGGAACGTCAGGGAAGGCTTCCCCGGGAGGCCGCTGTTTCCAGGGGCCGGCCATGTGGGGGGCTGCACCAGGTGGGGCAGCCGGAGTTGGGCTGCCAAGGCAGAAGCCAAGTGTGCGGAAGGAGGAGGGCAGGGCATCCAGGCCCAGGATGCCCAGGGAGGGGCCTACAGAAAGGGGCCGGCCTTTTATCCTGGGATGACCGGGGGCCACGGAAGACTTGAGGACAGGTAGGGGGCTGCTGGCTGTCTGGTGGGGTCGGGGGCAGTGTGAGCACAGTGAGGAGAGGAGCCTTAGGGCGGGAAGGGGAGAGACTGCACCCCGGGGTTCCATCAGAATGAAGGTCCAGGGGCTTTGTGACTGTATCCTGGCTGGGGCTGGCGGTGCTTCCCCCACTCTGACCCCCAGGCAGCCGCCACATCAGCCTGGCCTCAAGCAAACATGCCTCCCATGGCCTGTCTGGTTGCCATGACAGCCCTTCCTCCGACAGGCCCAGACGGGGTTGATGATGGGATTTGGGGTTCCAGAAGGCCTGAGGCATTCCTGAGGAGGCAGACCCGCTCTGCACATTTAGTCTGTGAGAGGCACCTGTTCCCAGCCCTGTTCACAGATGGGGAACCTGAGGCTCAGAGAGGTGCCTTTCCCTGCCCAGAATCACACAGCTAGCTGGGACAGAGCAGAGACAGGTCTCCATTCTCCTGCCGGAGGCTTTTAGCTAGAAATTTCCCTGTCTTCTTATAATCCCCAGGGGGAGAGGATGACAGAGGTGCGCAGGCCTCTGCCCAGGATGGGCCCTCAACTGAACTTAATGTCTGCTTTCTCTGGAGGCTGCAGGGCCAGCACGGTGCTCTGGAGAAGGCCTGTCTTTGGAGACGACTGAAACTGGGCCCCAATTTGGCTGCTGTGTGTAGCTGCAATCCCCTCTATAAAATGGGGGATCTGGTCCCCCAGTTGTTTTGAAGATCACACAAGACTTAGCCAGAAAGTGCTTGGCCTGGTCACCAGCATGAGGTGGTGCCCAGTAGGAACAGTGAGCACCAGCAGGTCTGACTACCTGCTGTAGGGTCTGGGCTCACCCTTAGGCATTTTTGTTCCTGGAATACACGCGTGTGCAGAGTTCCCCCGACTTGGGAAGTCATTGTTTTTAGTGATCATCTCGGTGTGCACACATAGAGCACCTACTGTATTCAGAGGCCAGGGTCTGGTTTCGGGGCCAGGTCTGGTGACCCGCAGGCCTCCCTTAGTGGGGACCACCTCAGGTGCCCCTCCTTTGCCACCCTCCTGGTGCCAAAGTCACCAGAGCATGCAAACATGAATGGGTCTTTGGGGTAGAGGTACCTGGGGTTGGGAGGAAGGCAGCCAAGGGCAAGGAAATGCAGGGCATGCCCACTGGGTGCCCTGCACTCCTCAAAGGCTGGTCCCGCAGGGATCCCCCCAGGAAAGCCGCTCTGGGGTCCGACCCTGGCAGGCTTGCTGTGGCCCTGTGCTATGCTAGATCCCCTCCCTGGAGCTCTGAGAACTGCCCACAGGGGCGTCTCAGCCTTGCTCCGGACCACACACCTAGGGTTTGTTTTGTTGTTGGGGAACATTCTGTGGGAACACCGCTTTAGGACTTTTCTGCAGGTGTCAGGTCTAGCTCGTTTGGTTTGAGGGAAAAAAAGTGAGGTGCCATCCGGGATTTGGAGTCGCTGGGATGGGCCAGAGTCCCCTCCATGGGGCTCTTCACAAAGGGGGCCGATGGATCTTGCTTGTTGGGCAGTGCCATTTATACAGGACAGGGAGCCCGGGCCCTCGCACTCAGGACAGGCTCAGCGAGGGCGGGAGTCTGAGTCAGCAGCTCTGCTGAGATGTGGCCGGTGGCCAACTCCAAGAAGTCCTTTCTGGTTTCCTTCGCTTCCTTTCACCCCCTCCAAATCAGGGTGAGAACCCCGTTCTGAAAGCTCTGCTAGTACGTGCTGGGTCATGTCAGCATGGGGAGCCTTGGGGTCAGGGCCCAAGAGGAACTGTGGAGTCAGAAGAGACATCTCAGGGACAAGGTCTCTGACGACACAGTCCAGGCTGGCCTGGAACCCAGAGAGCAAAACCCAGATAAGCAGGGCCGGGGGTGGGGGGCAGGAAGGAACTCACAGGAGTCAGGGGGACGTTTGTGATGCATCAGCCAACAGGCGGTGCTGCGAGGGAGAAGCCGCCCCGCCACTAGAGATATGTGCCATTGGCCAGGCTGCTTGGGAGGGGTCATTCATTGCATGGGGTTAGGCCAGGTGACCTTCAGGGTCCAGCCACAGCTCGTTCGTTGGATGCTGAGTGAAGAAACAGCTCAAACAAACAGGTGGAATTAGAGGGGGAAGCCAGCTAGCCCAGGAACACCCTTACCTTTCTAAGCCTCCCGTCAGTAAAACAGGGGCATTAAACCTACAGATTGTTGACTGAGCACTCACTCAGCACCAGCACCCCGGGACCGTTAGTTCATCTGCTCCTCTCGCTGTTCTTCCAAGGCGGGCGAGCCAAGGCTCCAGGGGCCCAGGAGCTCGCCCCAGGTCGCAGCCGTGGGGAAGCAGCCAGCCCGCTGCAGGCCGCGCTGCCTCCCCGAGTGTCGTCCTGTCCCGCCCCCCGTCCCGTGGTCTTGCCACGCACGGCAGCCATCGCTTACCCCCCTTCTTTGCCACGAAAGCCCGCCGGGCTCGCCAACGCGGGGAGGCGGCAGTAACTCAGCCTCCGGCCCCCCCGCCGCTGGGAGCCAGGCCCCTGGGCCGCCTGCTCCGATGGGGCTGGGGGACCGGACCCCGCGGCGGGCAGCGGGCGCAGGGAGGGGCGGGGGCGGGCCTCCCCCCACCTGGCAGCCCAGCCCACTCGCCCCGCCCCGCCCCGCCCGCCGGGCGCCCCGCAGACATCAACGAGTGCCTGGCCAACAACGGGGGCTGCGACCACTTCTGCCGCAACACCGTGGGCAGCTTCGAGTGCGGCTGCCGTAAGGGCTACAAGCTGCTGACCGACGAGCGGACGTGCCAAGGTGAGCCCCCGTGGGCCCCCGGCGGCCTCGCCCCGCCCTTCCCGGGCCTGCGCGGGCTCCTGGGGGGGGGGGGGGGGGGAGGGCCGGGGTGTGTCGGCCCCCGCTGGCCTGTCCGAGTGTGCACCTGCCCTCCCCGCCTTCTCTGTCCTTCATGACTCTAGGTCCAACCCATCCCTTTTATGGATGGGAAACTGAGGCCCGGAGGCGCATCAGCACGTGGGGGGGGGGGCCGGGGGGATGGTTACCACAGTGAGTCGGTGGCAGAGCTGGCCAGCTCCAGCACCCTGTCCTCCCGGTGGCCCCCGGGCCTCCTTCCGAGGCTTCGGAGGTGCGCTACCGCCGCCTGGTGGAAGGCGTGGCACATTGCAGGCGCTCTCCTGCAGTGCTTCCTTAGGGTTCCTGGGCGCCTGCGAGGAGCCACCAGGGTGATGTGAGGTCTGGGCAGAAGCCAAGAATCACAGTCCAGCACAAGTCCAGGAGACATCCGGGATGCAGTGAGAGCCCAGAGGATGGGCAGTGGAAAGAGTGGTCAGGGAAGGCTTCCTGGGGAAGGGGTCACTGGTGAATAGGCATTTTCCCAGAGGAGTGACAGACTGCACATGGCTCAGTGGGCCTCTCAGTGCAGCTTAGGGCTGGCCCTGGGGCAGCACGAGGCCCTGAGGGGCACGGGATGTGCTCTCCCAAGGACACGGAGGAAGGCAAGAGCAGGAGGCTGGTAACGGAGGGTCTAGGGCCAGCCTGTCCTGAGCCCATCCTATGACCCGAGTCAGTCACCTCCCCTCCCCAGCTCAGCGTCTTCATTCCTTGAGGGGTCTCTTGGCTCTCTCTTCCCCTTAGGGCGTGAGGGCCCATTGGGGGCACTTCACCTGTCCAGACTCCACTACACTTTGACTTAGTTTCTCCATCTGCCTTGCCAAGTTCTGTGGAGGGCTAAGGGAGGGGCCCTTGACTTTGTACTCCCAGCTGCCCCGTGAGACATGTGGGCCACCACTGAGGAGGAGGCCCTGATGTTTTTGCTTCTGGGCTCCAGCCAGTCTTCTCCATTCTTTACCAGGCTCGTCTCTCTGAGGCCCCCCGGGGCTCTGGCCATGTCCCAGCCCTGCTCCAGCACCACCCTGGACTCTAATTTCCTTTGCCTGGCACTCAGGCCCTTGGGATGGGGACCTCAGCCACCTCCCCAAGCCCCCTGAGTCCCACACATTCCCCTGGAGGCCCTGTGCTGCCCCCTCCCGATCTTTGCTTGTAGTGCCCTTCCCCCACTTCCATTCCTTCCTTCCAAGCTAGTCCCACCCTTCAAGGTCTAGTCCAGGTGCCACAAGTACCAGGAGATTTTCCCAGACCCCCCGCTGGGAGGAATCACATCCTCCTTTGAGCACCCACAGTGTGATTCCTTCCTTGTGCTAGAATTATTACAAACACACGTATATCATCAACGTGTGTGGTTACATGAGCTAATATATTCAAAGAATGATCTCCAATTACAGTGCCCATGGAAAGGTGGGTCAGTGGCTGTTTTGCCCTCAGGAGCCATCAGCTGTCCTAGGAGAGCCATTTTCCTCAGAATTTATGGCCAGGACAGACTTGTCTTCTAGGAGCATGCGATTCATTTTCTCCTTTCCAGTAACATGCACCCTGTGACCCTTTTTCCTTTTTACCTTGGCTGCCAGGAAGCTCAGAATCGAATTTCACATACTGTCAAGGTTTTCTTGTTATCCCTTATGGGTAGAGTATTCCCCCACCCATACCCCTTTCTCTTTGGGCTGTTTTCCTTGTTTTCTCGAGCTCTTTTGGAGTGATAGGAAAACACACTGTAGTCGGCATCCAGAAGGTCTGGTTTCATGTTCCAGTTCATTTGTCTCCTCAGGCAAGCCCCCATCAATTTGCTGTAGGTGAGGATTAAACATTCATCCTGATCACAACTGAATGTGAGATATTAAAATGGCAGACATAATACTTGTATCCAAAGTACTTACACCCTGCCCACCTCCAGAAAAGATGGGAAATGGCTTCTAACCCAGAAACATAAGGTTAATGGAGACAAACTGGAAAATCAGGCTGTGACCAGAAGCCAACATTCACTGTGGATCAGCTGTGCCATAAGCCTCGGGGGCCCAGGGACTGTCTGTGTGCAGATGCACGTTGAGCGACTGAGTGAGTGCCAAGCCATGTCCACCCAGCGCCCTGAAACTCCTCCCCGCACTGTCTCCCTGTGGCCACACAGACATCGACGAGTGCTCCTTCGAGCGGACCTGCGACCACATCTGCATCAACTCCCCAGGCAGCTTCCAGTGCCTGTGTCACCGTGGCTACACACTCTATGGGACAACCCACTGCGGAGGTTTGCAGCCCGCCCGCCAGGGCCACCTTCCCCCTGAGGCACGCGCCTGGCCGCATGGCCACCTATGCTGACCCTGACCTTGACTCCAGAGGGCCTGGAAGGGACCTAAGCAAGGCCAAGTTCTGGTGGGCAGAGGGGCTCAGCCAAGAGCAAGGTGGGAAGATGGGGGCAGGGAGCAGCAAGTATCAGCTAGGTGGCAGGCCTCAGGCCAGGTTGTGGGCATAGGCCCCAGAAATGTCAGCTACAAGGGAACCTCGGTCCAGAACGGGGGATGGCCACTACACAGAATCCCACAGACAATTCGTCCCAGTGGGAGAGGGTGACAACAGAGAAGGGCGGCGTATGGAGATGGAGGGGGGCGGTCCTAAAGGAGGAGCATCTGGGTCAAGATGAGGGAAAGCATGCCAGAAGGATCAGCATATGCAAAGGCACTGAGGTAGCACGGAGGGACCCAGAAGCAGCTGGTAGAGCCCCATGAGGGAAGGAGAATGTGGTGCACGATGCTGACAGGGAAGAAGCAGGGCTTTGTGAGGCCTACAGGTGATTTGGGTTTTCTTCCTCGTGCAGTGGGAGACTATTGGAGGGTTTAAGTAGGGGTGTGACATGGGCACGTTCAGGTAATGAGATCACTCTAGCTGCCACGTGTTCAGAAGAGCGGAACCCAGGGCACCAGCAGGGAGAGGGTTCCAGGCATGAGAGCCAGAGCCACTGAGCTCGGGCAGGGGGGGAGGTGTGCAGAGAAGGGGAAGGTTCTGAAGTATTCAGCTACAGATGATGGGACTTGGAGATGTGCAGGCATGGCAAGTGGAGGTGGGGGAGCCAAGAATGGCCCTGAGGTCCTAGGGTCTCCTCGTTTCCTGAGACCACACTCCCTCTGCCGGGCAGCTGTGCAGGTCGGATGTGGTCAGGTGTGAAGTGATCAGGCACAACTGGTGTTGGGGGGGGGAATGGGCTCCTGGGGTGGGCTACAGATTCTTCTAGATGGACCTCAAAAACCTGGGCCCTGGCTCCCCTGGGCCTGCCGCTCCGACTGCAGGCCGCCCAGATGCTCAGAGCCAGGCACCCCAGCGTGAGTGTGGCCCAGCCCCCTCTCCATCTCCAGCGGGTGCTCTGGTTCCTTGGTGGCCAGGGCAGGAAGGGTTGGAAGTGGCTTCTTTCACCCTGGGGCCCGTTGCATAGAGGGAAACAGCCTGTCCAAAGTCCCTTGAGCAAGAGTGACTGCACGGCCCCTGCCTCGCGAGACCTGCTTGGCACTTGAATTTTGTGCCACCTTCTGCCCTCCCCCCCCCCAGTCTGGCTGCAGCTGCTGGAGGTCGGCAAACGGCTGGGGTTCCTGGGGGAGGGGGAGGGGTCGGTGTCCGTGTCCATCAGCCTCGTGTGTGTGCACTCCTGTGTGTGACGCGTGCGGCCGCCTGTCTGCATCTGACGCGTGGCCGGCTGCCGGCAGGGTCAGGGGACTCTCGGCCCTCTGGTGCTGGGTGGCCCTGCCCTGCCAGCCAACCTCCTGCCCTGATGCCCTTCCTCCCACCTGCGCTTCCAGATGTGGACGAGTGCAGCATGAACAACGGGAGCTGTGACCAGGGCTGTGTCAACACCAAGGGCAGCTACGAATGCGTCTGCCCCCCGGGGAGGCGGCTCCACTGGAACCGGAAGGACTGTGTGGGTGAGTGCCCTGGGGTGGGCCACCGCTGGGACCCCTGAAGAAGGGCCTGGGCGCTGGCTTCCGCCGCTTCCGCCAGGTGCCTGGATGGGAAGGGCAGTGACCTCTCAGGGTGGGGTGAGCATGGGGTGAACAACGCAGGGCCTACCTCGCCTGGGAGGGGGGTTCTCGGCAGGGAACCTCTGCTGCTGGGATGGGGCTAATGGGAAGGAGGACCTGCAGAAGAAGAGGGGATGCAGGCGGGGGAGCGTGCTGGGTGCCAGCCAGAGGCACAGAAACGGACCTACAGGGGGAGGGGGACACAGAGGTGAAGATCTGGGGGTCAGTGTGTGCAGCTAGGGCTGTGGGCTCAGGAGGAGCTAGAAGCTCGGAGGGCAAAGAGGCCTCCACGCCCCCATCTCCCGCTGGTCCTGCCCAGGCCACCGGCCCCACAAGGTCCAGCACGGGAAGGTGGAGGGGGGGCTCCCAGCAAGCGCAGGGTGCCTGCGTCCTCTGCTGGTGGGCTCCGGAGACTTGGGGCAGCTCCAGGCCAAGTTCTGGACAATCCCCCACATTCATTGGTTCTACAAACACATGGTCACCCACTACATGCCAGGCCTGCTGTGGATGCTGGAGCCACAGCCCTGAAATGGCTCTTAGATCCTTGCCCTGCCATGCCCTAACATCCCCAGGGCAGCCAGAGCCAGCCTTTGATTTTATTTTTTAAACTTGTTTTTTTTCTCCACGCCCAGCGTGGAGCCCAACACAGAGCTTGAACCCACGACCCTGATACCAAGACCTAAGCTGAGATCAGGAGTCAGATATTTAACCGACTGAGCCACCCAGGCGCCCCCAGAGCTGGCCTTTTGAATCTGACTCCGAATGTGCCCGCCTCTGCTCAGAGCTCTCCACGACTCCTCTTCATGTGGAAGCAAAGCCAGAGTTCTTAGAATGGCCCAAAGACTACTGGACCCTGGCCTAACGGCCTTCGGCCCTCACCCTCGCCCACCCCACGCTAGCCTCAGTGACCTCGAGGTTGCTTCCCACCCCCAACTGACATGGCCGTGCCAGGGCTCCCCTCTCGGCCTGGAGGGCTCCTCGCCCCTCTCACTTTCGCTCTGGGAGGCCTTCCTTGCACCCCACCCACTACCCCCCGCCTCCTTGTTTTCTTCTCTCCCGTTGTACTTCCCCCGGCTAGACATACACATGTATGTGATGTATGCTTTACACAGCGGAGCACATACTTCTGTCTGTCTCATTCACTGCTGTGTCCCCAGCACCTAGAACAGAGCCTGGCAAGTGTAGGCACTGAGTAAGTATTTGTTGAATGAATGAGTGAGGGTATCGAAGAATGGGTACCATCACTTAGCATCTGATACCAAAAAGCCGAAAGTATTGCTTCCTTCAGTAAGGACCGCTGTGTTGTTCAGGCAGTCCTGGTGAGCAAAGCCAACCGCTGGTCTCGTCTGGAGTTGCAGGGAGGAGGCTGTCTGGGGCTGTGCTGGAGAGGAAGCATTAAGTGGTGTGCATTCCGGGAGCATGGCTTGTGCTGGGAACTAAGGCCGGATGGGTTGACTCCAGCCTGCCTGGGAATCTGCCGCCAGTTTGCTGACTTTCCGAGCCTGGAAAGTAATGGTTGGACGGGCTTTCAGAGGCATGTCTGCTGATTGATGAGGGTAGTGCTAGGTCTGGTGTTGACTTGTTCCCAAAGCTGCCGGGCCAGCAGGCTTTCTCTAGGTGTATGGGGAAGGAGCGCTTTTATCCTCAGCACCCTACCGGTCGTCTCTCCCTCTGTCAGAGCTGCAGGAGCGGCCACCGGGGCTTGTCTGGGTCCTCACACGGCCACCGACCCTGCTCCAAGAGTCACGGGTGGAGGTCTGATTGTCAGTCAGGGTGACTTTATCACACTTCTCCCAAGTCATCTGCTAGGACTGTGGTGACTACATAGAAGCAGTTAGCATTCTGGACACTAGATTTGGGAAGACAGACGAACAAGCATAGCTGGAAGTGTTCTTAGAAGGTTCTGGAAGGCCCTCCAGACCCGAGACCCAAGAGTTCCCAGGGCTGACCAAGAAAACTGGTTCCACCAACTCCCTGAGTCTGCCATCAGTGTGCAAGCTGCTTTCCCTTATAACCTCGACGTGGACTGCCCCACCTCACCTGTGCTGTGAATCCAGGTCCAGAGTGAAGGGCTGGCAGTGACGACCCCCCTGATTGGTCAAAAGAAAATCCAAGTTATCACTGTCACCCTGAGTGCTTGCCCTAGGAAGTCAGCCTGGTTCGCCATGCCCCCCACACCACGCCATGGGCTGTCTTATTTACTATAGCGCCCAAGGCGAGGGGCACATTTTTGATGACCACTTGGAGCTGCCCGATTCCTATGGATGGGACTGACAGCCTCCATGGTCTGCTTCAGCAGGTATCATTTGTGTCCCTCGGAAGGGAATTCTGTCCACAGATGGTTTGCAGATGGCGTCGTTCACTGAGGGGTTGGGGGAGCCGTGTACTTGGAACAGTCTAGTAGCCCCCCAGAACCATCAGCTGTGGTCCCAGGGGGCATTGATGAGCCAGACCCCATGTACCAGATGGGATCCACTTCAGTGAAGCTGTAGGGGTATTGTCTGGGGTGTTGCTGTGAGAACTAGTCAGCTACATGGCAAGACAGCTGAATCCACCTTTCCCAGCGCGTGGGCATTCTCTTCTTCTATGTATTGCCCACAGAGAATGTCGTAATTAATAAGGTTTGTGTAACGTACTTTATACCAGCTTTCAATACCGATTTCCCCAGCAATAGCTTGGGGGACTGATGTTAAAGATTTAGGATGGTGGCCCTCGCTAGCAAGGCCTAGATCCAGGCCAGTTATCATTGGTGAGGGAAGCATAATAGAGCAGATCCGCAGTGTGTAATCTTAAACGTGTAAGATGGGAGAGCATGACCCGAAGAACCAAGAACAAAGGCCTGCGAAGGAGCATGTGCAAGTCAGTGGTTGCAAACATCAAGGAGAATTTATTCCAGTGGCCTTGGGTGAGAGCCGTCCCTATGTATCATCTTCTGCCTGTCCTGAGACTCTTGAGAAATAGTTGGTTTGTGTGCACTGACTGCTTCCGGGGGTTCTCTTGAGAACCCCAGTTCAAGATCTGTAAGTTGTGACTGCGTAGTAAGTTCTGAAAAATCCACTTCTGTGTTCCCAAAAGATATGGAGTAAAAAGACAGTGAAACTTCTGAGTGATTTATGAATAACCCTCCCAGGAAAAGGTGTCTGCATATTGCTAAATAAATAAGTTGGACTATCCCAAATAAGGAACACGGGATCTAGTAATGTTTTAGCTCCTACGAGTGCTCCGTTTTTCCCAACAAGCGACTGCTTTAATTCATCCAGAAAGTAAATATGCTATTATAAGCACACAATTATAATCCGTCAAATCCATTTGGAGATGCTCAAGGAGTCCTTTAGGGTTTGTTCTGGTTTTTACTCTTTACCCAGGATTCTGCTGACTGCAGGTGAGCCTTGAACTGCTCATCTCCTCTGCTGGCCTGGGAGAGTTTCTCACCTTCTCGTCTACCACCACAGCTGGTTTGTCCCCCCTGGGATGAGTTGTCATAAAGGAAACATTAGCACATGCCCAAGTGAGGTGGTCTGGTGGGTCCCGGGGGCCATCCTGGTTTCACTGGGATACCATCCTCAGGGGGCTTGCAACGCGATTATTCCACTTGGCTCCTTCTCAGAGTAGGAAGGCAAACACGGTGTGTCTGCGATGGAATCCCCACGCCTTTTCCATGGATCCGTGTCTCTGTGCTGTCTGTCGGAAGTCCTTGCCTAGGGATCACGGTCAGAGCAGCCCATTTAGCGTGATGACCCAGGAGACATTGCCTCTGACTTCCATCCCTCGTACCGTGGTGTCTCAGTTATGGGCAGTAAACCTCTCTGTTTCCAGAGCATCACTAAGTTGAACACTACAGCTGTCAGTATACAGAGCTACCCTTGATCTTCAGCAACGGAACATGCCCTAGAGATGGCCACAGGTTTGGCCACTAGAGCCAACATGAGTCCCTTAGGACATTATTCCAGCCTGGATAGTTCTTGTAAATCCAACCTAGTGTCATCTCGCCTCCTTTTGTTTTTTGTTTTTATTAACAGCTTCATTGAGATATAATTCACATGCCATACAAGTCCCCCATTTAGTGTGCAGTTCAATGGTGTTTAGTATAATCACAGAACTGTACAACCCCAGTGAATTTTAGAGCATTTTCATTACCCCAGAGAGAAACCCTATGCCCATAGCCGTCATTCCCTCAACCCCCAGCCCTAGGCAACTACCATCTACTTTTGTCTCCATGGATTCGCCTGTTCTGGACAATTGGCATAAGTGGAATCATATAACATGGGGCCTTATTATTCCATGTAGTGTAATATGTTCAAGGTTCACCCATGTCATAGTGCATGTCACTGCTTCATTCCTCTTGACAACCAAATTATATCCCGCTGTCTGCTTAGCCCACGTCTTGTTTATCCGCTCATCGGGTGATGGACATGTAAGTTGTTTCCAGTTTGGGGCATGTCATGAAGAACGCTGCTGTGTCCACATATGTTTTCAGTTTCCTCGGGTGTACGCCCAGGGGTGGAATTACTGGGTCATGCGCCCATGCTGGGTTTAACTTTTGAGGAACCGCTAGCCTGTTTTCCAAAGAAGCTGCGCCATTTGAGGTCCCACCAGCAGTGTGTGAGGTTCCGATTTCAGCACGTCCTCAGCCACCCTTGCTGTTTCCTGACTTTTTGATTATGGCCATCCTGAGGAGGGAGGGGTGAAATGGTTTCTCATTGTGGTTTTGATTTGTATTTCCCTGATGGCCAGTGGTGTTGAGTACCTTTCCATGCGCTTATTGAGTATTTGTAGATGTTCTTTCAAGAAATGTCTATTCAGATCCTTTGCCCATTTTTTTAATTGTATTATCTGTCTTTATTATTCGGTTATAAGAGTTCTTCCTATACTCTAGATATGACTTTCTTACCAGATACATGATTTGCAAGAGATATTCCCCATTCGGTGAGCTGTCTTTTCATTTTCTTGATGGTATCTTTTGAAGCCTAAAGGTTTTTAATTCTCATAAAGTCCAATTTATCTATTTTATTTCTTTGGCTGCTTGTGGTTTGGGTGTCATTTTTAAGAAACCACTGCCTAATACAGGGTCCCAAAGATTTACAGCTGTTTTCTTCTAAGAACTTTATAGCTTTAGCTCTTATACTTAGGTCTTCGATCCGTTTCGAATTAATTTGTATATGGTGTGAGACAGGGGTCCACCTTCATTCTTTTGCCTGTGGAAAGCCTGTTGTCACAGTGCCATTTGTTGAAAAGACCATTCTTTTTTTTTTTTTAAGATTTTATTTATTTATTTGACAGAGGGGGACACAGCAAGAGAGGGAACACAAGCAGGGGGAGCGGGAGAGGGAGAAGCAGGCTTCCCGCCGAGCAGGGAGCCTGATGCGGGGCTCGATCCCAGGACCCTGGGATCATGACCTGAGCCGAAGGCAGATGCTTAACGAATGAGCCACCCAGGCGCCCTGAAAAGACCATTCTTTTTCCCCGGTGAATTATCCTGCCATCTTCTTGAAATCAATTGGCCATAAATGTGTGGGTTTATTTCTGGGCTCTCTTTTCCATTGATCCGTTTGTCCTGATGCCCGTATCCCACTGTCTTGATTAATGTAGCTTTATAGTAAGTTTTTAAATCATGAAATGAGAGTCTTCCAACTTGGTTTTTTGTGTTCAAGATTGATCTGGCTATTCTTGAACTTACTTTGAGTTTCCATATGAATTTTTGAAGTCTCTTCATTATTAAGATGCGTGCCATCAACCAACAGTACTGAGTCAGGACTTGGTATGGAATGTCCAAAAGATCTGTTTTGGATATGAGCACGTCTGAAGTACAGACACACAGAGATGAGTTTCTCTGTCAGGAAGGGGTAGGAGTTGCTCGGCGGTAATATGAGAAGGATAAAGGAACCAAATACCATAATTCGTTCAATGACAAGCAGAGAAAATACTGGGTGTTTTCAGTTCTCAGTGGGGGGTCATCCGGCATGTGGTACCCTCAGATTAAAGGTGATTCTAGGACGAGATCTGAAGATTCTCCAACTACGTTAGCCAAGGCATTGCCCTGAGGCAGGGAGGACAAGCCTTGGTCATGGATGTTTGCTGTGTTGCTGAGCTTGTATCCTGAGAGTGTGGCCTAACTTTTGCATGTTCATACCAAAAAAAAAAAAGAAAAAAGAAAAATTTATGGCAGTCTGGACTCTTCCTGGGCTCTGTTCCATTTGTTCTGCTGATGTGGAAGCTTTGCCCCAGGGATCCTGTTTTTGAATCATACGTAATATGTATATGAAGGCTCCTATCAGCTATAAATTGAATCATGCGTAGGAGAATTTTCTGGGACTTCTAAAAATAACCTCACAGATATATTTTAGGTGTATTTATTTGGAGACATATTTTAGCTGGCGGTTCCATTTGCAGAGGAGATTCTGCCCCACGACATGGGTAGGGGCTTTGACCCACGGAAGGGAGGGTTGCCTTCTGATAATGGCTCCCAAGGAGCAATTACAGGTTGGAACTTGGGAAAGGACCAAGGCTTGTTAGAGTGTCCACTGCCTCAGTGCTTTTAGTAAACCAGAGCAAATCAAGGTCATGGCCTCCCAGCCTTCTGCAACTTCCTGTCTGCGTTCAGGGCCGCCTCTTACTATCTTCATCCATATTCCCCACAACCAGGCATTCTTACTTTAAGGCAAACAGAATTTTTTCTTTTTTTTCCACTTATCGCCAGTCAATTTGCCTTCCCTCTTGCTTCTTAGGTGACTTTAAACTTTTCTCTGGGCTTTGGTGTTCAGTGGTGGTGGAATTAATGGGTGTATATGGTGGGGTCAGAGATTTTGCCTACATGCAGCTCGTAAGCTAGCCTGCTGCTGTGTCCCAGGTGCCCTGGACATCCCGGAACCCCGGGGCCAGAGACGAAGGACTTCAGTACTCAGCACAGCAACCAGCATAAAAAGCACATTTGTGTGGGTTCCCCCGCCCCGCCCCCAAGTCCCATTTGCCCCCTCGATGCCGTGCAGGTGGAGAACTTGCATCACAGCCGAGGGACACCCAGCCTGGGAAACTCACCACTTTTATGGCGAACAGAGCCGGGCTCCTCCTTATCTAGAAGGAGATGTTCCCTCATCCCTCGAAGCTGCTCGAGGCAAACATAACCCTGAGAAATGGTCTGGGGAAGGAGCTGCCAATGCTTTGCGTCCTTGGAGTCCCAGTGAAAGCCCCCCAGCGAGAGCCCCCACGCTCAGGGCTGGGATGGTTGCCTCTCCCAATGAGTGGCCCCCATTGGTACCAGAAAGCAACGTTGCTGTCCACCAGTAATCACTGACAATTCCCTTTAGGAATTTGGAGAAAGTCCAAGGAAGTGCTGGGGGCTTAGTCTCCCTTGGAAGTTTGTAGATGGTTGTCCTGCTTCTCAACCAGCGGGAACATTGGTTCTTCCAGTGGCCCTTCTGTCCTGCATTATCTGCAGGTGGTTTTACTTGAAGATTCCTGATTCTTTGGGAACAGAGGACTTTCAGTCCTGTATTTACTTGGGGGCCAGCTGTTTTATCTGGAGGGCCGTGAGTTTGTTTTTATTTCTAGATTATTTACTTTCTAAGACTCCTTGAAAATGTCGAGCCACATGTTGAAGATGACCCACACTGGCAATTTCCCACTTCCATTTATTTTTCTGGCTGAGTCTCCTACTTCAGCCTGCTCACCCGAGCGACTCGACCATTGACAACAGCCTCTGAGGGGCACTTCCAGGGGCGTGCCCATTTCAGCCAGTTGTCACTGACCAGCCAGACGGGGATAAAACCAGTTCTGAGTTCCATGGCTATAGACCTGTCAGTCCTTTTAATCAAAAGATTAAAAAACGTCTGAGAGGGACACCTGGGTGGCTCAGTCGATTAAGTGTCTGCCTTCGGCTCCGGTCACGATCCCAAGATGCTGGGATCGAGTCCCACATCGGGCTCCCTGCTCAGCAGGGCAGTCCGCTTCTCCGGCTGCCTGCCACTCCCTCTGCTTGTGCTCTTTCTTTTTCTCTCTGACAAATAAATAAATAAAATCTTTAAAATAAAATAAAATAAAAAATACATAAATAAAAAACACCCGCAAAACTCTGAAGAGCTTAGTTTGGGATATCTCCGGACACCTAATGGATGTGTCCAGCAGCTGCCCCAGAGAGGGACTCCCAGTGACCCTCACATGCTTAGAAGTCGGTCACTGCCAAGAAGCCCGAGTCACTTCCACCTGCTCCCTTACGCAGAGGGGCATGGACAGCTGCTCTGGAGAATCCAGCTGTGCCCTCTGGTCTGGGCCTGTGACGTGAGGCTTCTCACAGACAGCCTGGACTGGTCAGAGGGAGGAGCGAGCCAGCTCTCTGGGCCCGGCATCCCCACACGTCCAAGTACATGTGGACCCCGCCATCTCCCAGGCCCTTCCCACCAGGGTCTGGCCACGGGATGGGGATGTGGCAGGAGTCCCCCAGTGGTCCACGCTCAGGGGCAGGGCCTCCAGAAGCCTCCACCCTGGCCCCCTCCAGCCCTCTCTTATGTCTTCCCCCTCCTCAGAGACGGGCAAGTGCCTTTCTCGGGCCAAGGCCTCCCCCTGGGCCCAGCTGTCCTGCAGCAAGGTGGGCGGCATGGAGAGCTGCTCCCTTTCCTGCCCAGCCCACTCACTCTTCGTGCCAGGTAACCTGAGGCCATCCCCGGGAAGGGATGAGGGAGTGGGTGGGGGGCTTCCTTCCCTGGGGTCCAGCCCCTCCTCCCTGCCGTTCTCCAGGAAAGAGCCCAATCTAGGAATGAGGCCGCCTGGCCCTGATCACTGAGAGATCCTGGCCCACCGTCTGGTTCCCTATGGGACACAGCATCCCTCTCCACAAGTGCAGTGGGCTCATTCCCTCCCAGCTGCTTACCCACAGCAGCCCTTCTGAGGCCTCCAGGATCTGAGGCCTCCATCTCACCCCTGGCCTCTCTGCAGACTCGGAAAACAGCTACAGCCTGAGCTGCGGCGTCCCGGGTCTCCAGGGCAAGATGCTGCCGAAGCGCAACAGCACCAGCTCCAGCACTGGGCCCAGCTGCTCAGGTAGCCGCCGGCCTGTCCGGGCTGCCTGCGCCCGGTGACCCCTGGACATTGCGTCCAGCCCTAGCCTGGGACGGGAGGGAGGGGCACTACCTAGGGAAGAACTTCCTGGCCTGGGGACCGGCCCAGCATGATCCCCGGTGCTGGCGAGCTGAGAGCAGGACTGGGACCTCTGGGCCACACGCTGGTACTGCAGTGACTCTGATCTGCTAGGACTCTTGGGTCTCAGACTCCGTTCCAGTGAAGTGAGTCACCTCCACTGTGACCATGAGGTCCCAGAGGTCCTGTGCCCTGCGGGACCCGCCAGCCAGGTCCCGTCCGCACAGCGCAGCCAACTCCCCTGCCTGCAGGCGTGTCTTCAGCCGCTTTTCCCATTCAGGAGGTTGAATCCAATGCCATGGGGACATCTGTGTGCATTTAATGCATACAGGATGTGATGCTGAGTGTCTGTGATTGTCGGTTCTTTATCCAAGCGGCTGGAATTTGCTCTTGGAAGGAATCAGCAGCTCAGGGGATGTGTCTTATTTCAAAGCCCCTTCCCTTCCTTGCTTCCCTCTCTCTTCTGTTCTGCCGCCTTTCCTAACAGCATGAGCCACGTGAACTGGGCAGTGGGGGAGGAGGTGGGAGACCTGCCTTTCCTCCTCCACAGAAGACCCCCGACCGTGAGGCCCCCCCCCCGGCTTGAGCGTGGCCCCACCATCCATGCTCCCACCTTTTCCAGGCCGTGCAGGGAGAGGAATGAGGCAGCAGGGTCCCCCCAGCCCCAGCCCCCAGTGGATTGGTCCTGCTGGCCGCCCCCTCACACTAAGGCACTCCCTCTGTGGTCCCCCCGGCCCCACCGCCTCCCTGCCCATGAGAGAGGCTGCCACCTGGGGGGATCTGGGCTTTCCCCAGGTGCGCCTGCCCCCATCAGGCAGAAGGCCCGCTTCAAGATCCGAGACGCCAAGTGCCACCTCCGGCCCCACAGCCGGGAGCCAGCAAAGGAGGCCCTGAGGCAGCTGCTGCTGGGTGAGTGGGCTGCCATGGTGCGAACCCACACAAGGGGCGGTGGGGGTCCCCGCGCCTGAGAGCTGGGAGCCCAGGGTCCAGCGGGGCTGGGTTTCCAAGGGCGGGGGGCCTCTCTTCGTCCTCACCATCATGGTCCCTGAGCCCCAGGAGCCAGGCCTGGAGCCCTGTAGACGGTGGTGGTGTCCCTTGGGAAGAAGGCCAGCATTGGAGTGGAGAATCTGGGCCCCCCAGCATCCCTGGGGCCCATCGTCCCTGCCTCACCCTGGGTTAGATGAGCTCCCCCACGGCAGGTGCTGTGTGCAGCCTGACTGTGTCCAGAAGGCCTCCCAGGGCTCACTCAGTGGCTCACTCTTGGAATGAGGGAGGCCAAAAAGGGTGTTCCAGGCTGGAGAGTAGCACGGGGAAATCTCGGTGAGAAGGGCCCAGGAGAAGCGCTTCCCAGCTCTGTTTCCACAAAGATTCCTGAACACCTTAGGATTCCTCCCCAAAGCTAACAGAGCGCAGCCCTCAAGCCGACCTAACCTGGGCTGAGCCCCACGGAGCTGAGCTTCCCCGGGGCGTCGCTAAGGAAATATGTGTGAGGGCCTCCGTATGCAGCAGTGTGATGGACTTGGAGGGCTGGTGCAGGGCCTGGCTCAGCCACAAACCCCTCATGAGGCCTCGAGCCAGCCTGGCCTCCAGCCTCAGTTTCCCCCTCTGCACCACAGACTATTAGGCAAAGCAGGAGCCTTGCTGATGGTAACCTGTGCGCAGGGCTCTGTAGGACCCCGCTTCCTGCCCTGTGCCACCTTTGCCATGGCGGTCCCTTCTTTGTCCAGAAAACTGCCATCTGACCTTTGTGACCCTCAAATGTGACTCCTCCAAGAAGAGGCGCCGTGGCAAAAAGTCCCCATCCAAGGAGGTGACCCACATCACAGCAGAGTTCGAGGTGGAGACAAAGATGGAAGAGGCGTCAGGTGCGAGAGGCTGCGGAAGGCCACAGGGAGGACAGGAGCCGGGGAGGGCCGGCAGGGGTGTGCCGGGCGTGAAGCTGGGCGACCACCTGAGCCACGGCTCCTGGAGGTGGAGGCCAGCCAGGCAGTGGGGGAGCCGGGGGGTGGGGGTAGGTGCCGGGTAGCCCGGGATGGAAGAGGAGGCCCGGGGCTCAGGGGCCCACAGTGACAGCCACACGGCCTCTCTCCACCCTTCATGCCCTCGCTGGGGCCTGGAAGGGCTCGTGCCTATGGAGTTTCTGGAACAACTGAGCCAAGGGCCTATCTTTCCCAGGTTCCAGAAGGGGCCTGTAATGCTGGCTTGAGTTTCATCAGGGCTTTCCTCTTGGCTGTAAATGAGTGCTGAGTTGTGACAGAGAAGTTTGAGATCTGTCAGCAGATTTGTGCTGTGTGTGCCCAGCTCCGGGCACTGTTGGAAAGAGGGGACCAGACCAGGGTCCTTGTGCTGGCAGCACTCCCAGCCATGGGGACACAGACCCACATACAAACCACCCGGTGCTGAGGGAGACGCTAGGTGGTGGGGGCGTGAGAGCAAACAGGACCCGGAGCTGAGAGGTCTCCCCAAGAGAGGGGCTCAGGAAGTCTTCCCAGAAGACTGATTTGAATCAGGACTTAAAATCAAAGTTCACCAAGTGGGGGAGGTTGGAGGAGGTGGCAGGGAATGACCTTCAGGCAGAGGGAATGCAGTAGGCAAAGGCACAGAGATCAGAGGGAATGGGATGTGCTCAGGAGGCGGTGAGCCGGACAGGGTGGCTAGAAAGCAGAGTTCACAGTGGGTGTCGGAGGGCTGGGGGTGAGGCCTGGCAAGGCAGGCAGGGGCCCCACCACAAGGGGCCTTGGATCCAAGGCCAGAGAGCTGGGCATTCTGGGAATAGTGGCAGCCCCGAGGGTGTTGAGTGGCAGGGAGGAGTGCCCGTGCGTGAGCTGTGTCCTGGCGAGGTGATGCGTTGCCATGGCGGAGGCCCGGGTTCTCCTCCGATCCGCGGTGTGGCCTTGAGCGGGTCATACCTCTTGGACCCTCAGTCTCCTCATCTGTCAGATGGACGCCACAATGGTGCCTCGGCCCCCGGCTGCCGCATGAACGTGCTGGGGGCCGAGGCCTGGTGGAGGTGGAAGCTCGGGGAAGGGGCCGCTCCCAGGGGGTTGTGAGTCACCGTCCCTCCCGCCCCTGCAGACACCTGTGAGGCGGACTGCATGCGGAAGCGCGCCGAGCAGAGCCTGCAGGCCGCCATCAAGACTCTGCGGAAGTCCATCGGCCGGCAGCACTTCTCCGTCCAGGTCGCAGGCACAGAGTACGCGATGGCCCAGTGGCCGGCCAAGGCCCTGGAGGGCCAGGGGGCGTGCGTCACAGGCCAGGTGTTACAGGACGGGAAATGCGGTGCGTCCCTGCCCGTGGCCACTGGGATGCCCACTCGGCAAACCTTCTCTGCCCTGCCTTCCACGGGGGGCCTGGGTCAGCAGACACACTGGGAGGGGACAGCGAGACAGAAGCCTGCCAGAGAGAAGCAGTCCCATGCTCATCATTATGGCTGTCATTTGAAGAGCACTCCCCTGATGCCAGGCACTGGGCAAAGCATTTGCTGGGCAAACATTTGCACGCACGGCCCTCACCACAATCCTGAGGACGTGTGGGACAGGGAGAGCGCAGGGCAGCACGGCCACAGCGGAGAGGCAGGAGGGGCAGGGGGACTAGTCTGTGTGGCTAGAGAGGGCCTCCCAGCCGAGGCAGCGTGGGAGCTGAGGGCGGAGGAGGAGCCGAGCGAAGATGCATGCGAGGCTGAGGGCCACCCAGGGCTACAGCACAGGCTGCCGGGAAGCAGGGGAGGCCAGGCCCACGGCAGGAGCTCGGAGAGGGCAGCCAGCCAGGGTCCAGGCCCGGGAGGCAGGGGACTTGACCAGAGCCCCAGGAGCTGGCCTGTTGAGAGGGGATGGGTCTAGACACAGCTGCAGGAGAGTGGACAGAGCCCTTGTTCTGCTGGGCTTCACGTTTCCCGGGGAAAGAAGGCAGCCAGTGAGCAAGCAAGCGCACCCACAGGCCAGGGGAGGCAGCCGCCTTGCGGGCCTCGCGGGCAGCGGTGCTACTCTGGTGCCGTGGAAACCACAGGAAGGTTCCAAGGAGAGGAGCAGGGAAGGGAAGCCAAGCGGGAGTCGGTGGAGCCTTGAACGGGGAGTGGGGGGCTGGCAGCAGGACAAGAAGGAAGGAGACAGATTGAGAGAGCACTTTGGAGGGGCTTCGAGGGCAGCCCCCAAGGGCCGCGGGGCAGAGGTGGCATCATTTTCTGATCTGGGGAACCTGGGGAAGACGCGGCTGGTGGAGACGGAGTGGTCTGTATTTGCTAGCTCAGACACACGTGAGTCATCCCTGTGAAGACGTTGAATGGTTAGGGTGGTTGGAGCCACAAATCTGGGGCACAAAGCATAGGCTGGGCCAGAGAGATAAACTAGGGATCACTGGAGAAGAGGTGGGATTTAGGGGTGTGGGGGGGAAGGAAGGACTCTGGCTCGAGCAATAGAGTGAGCATGGCAGGAGGGCAGGGGCCTTCGTGATGTCATTCTTTTCTCTTTTTTTTTTTAAGATTTTATTTATTTGAGAGAGAGAGCACACACGAGGAAGGGGAGGGGGAGGGGCAGAGGGAGAAGCAGGCTTCCCACTGAGCAGGGAACCCGCTGCGGGATCCGATCCCAGGAGCCCGGGGTCACGACCTGAGCGGAAGGCAGACACTTTGACTGAGCCACCCAGGCGCTCCCTTCTTCTATTTTTAATAGCTTAGTCTGAAATCATTTCAAACATTGGGAAATATGGCCAGGCAGAACAAGGAACTTCCATGGTTTCTTCATCCAGGTGCCCCCGTGTGCTGCCTCGAGCAGGTCCAGGCCGCGCGGTCCAGCCCAGTTCCCCCCTGTCCTGCACGTTCAGGGTCCTGTCTCTCCTTCCTTCAGTGTGGAGCGGTCCCTCGCTCTTTCCCTGCGTCTCCTGTCCTCCTGCTGTAGGATGACCCTCCGGGGCCGCATCCCACGTGTCCGTGAGGGTCTCAGCAGGAAACTGCGCTGGCCGCCTGCTCTTCAGCGCCCCCGTCAGGAGGCACAGGATACTGACCCAGGCCACCCCTTCTGCAATTGAGGAGGATTTGCTGGGGATGTAATTCTGAATTTATACCAACATCCTGCTCCCCATCAGCCACCCTGCCCCCCAGCAGCACTCAGTGACAACTCCCAAAGCAGCCACGTCTCCCATGGTTGCGGGACGGTATCCTCTATTCCTGCCAGCCCTGGTCCCTGTGTATTGGTTAGCATTCTCCTGTCAGGAACCTTTCCCTTCCCCCTCACTTACGGATGCCTCTGCGCATCTACATGTCCGTGTATTTATATCACTGCGGACTCAGAGACTCCTCTGTTCTTCACCGGGTTGTAATCCAAGCCTGGGATTACTTAGTTCCGTGCTCAGATCATCCCCAGTGTAGCCAGTAAAGTTCCCCGTCAGACCGGTTCCCCCATCCTTTGGACACACCCCACGCCCCCATCACTCGCTGAGGATTCTCGGGCACCAAACCTGTACTTTCCCTGCCCCAGCCTTTGCAATCAGTCAGGAACCCCTGGACCCCTAGAGGAGGAAGATATGCAGATGCCAAAGCTGGGGTCCTCGCTGCTACTGGAGTGTCCTTGCTTCCAGGTTCTCTCATTGGACAGACCTAGAAAGTATGGGTGTATATCGTACATGGGTGTATATGTGTATTTCCATAGCTACAGATGGGTACCTAGGGGTGTGTGTGTGTGCGTGTGTGTGTGTTTGGAAAACCATGCGTTCACACCAATCCCTCCAATTCAATAGCTCAGAGTTCTTTCTAACCTCCCCTCTTTCCATGTTTCTAAATTTCTTCTCCAGAGAAACATGCGGCTCCCTCTCTCGTTTCCTTGGTCAGTCTTCTTACTCATCAGTTTGCTATATGCAGCCGACCACACCAGCCTGGACGACCCTCAGCCACCAGGCCTCCCTGCCCCCACCTCTGTCACTCCCCCCCCCGCACCACCCCCATGTCCCCAGATGGCCGCTACACCCGACAGGGAAGGAAAAAGGAGGGTAGGAGAGCTGGGTTTGGACAAAATGCCCGTAGGATGGCCGGGAAACGGTTAGTACGCAGGCCAAGAGGTCAGGGCTGGAGGGCAGGATGCAGAGCAGAGAGAGAACGAAGGGCTGAGCAGGAGTGGCCAGCACGGGGCAGGAGACCAGGGTCAGGCCTCCGGGCTCTTCACAGATGGCTGCCGTCTTGTTCCCACCGCCAGCTCTCCTTTGAGCCACAGGGACGAGGGATGTGCTCTATCTGGGAGGACAGAGCCTGGGTTTGAGGTACCAGGAGACAGACCACCTGGGCACCACGCCCCACCCCTGCCACCAGCAATCTCTCCACTTTGCCTCTGCAGTGGCCTGCGGGCCTGGCACCTACTTCAGCGGAGAGCCTGGCCAGTGTGTGCCATGCGCGCCGGGGTCCTACCAGGATGGGGACGGCCAACTCAGCTGCACGCCATGCCCCAGCAGCGACGGGCTCGGCCTGGCTGGTGCCCGCAACGTATCCGAATGTGGAGGCGAGTGCGGGTCCCCCCTGGAGGGCGGGGCTGGGGGTTGCGGTGGGGGGAGGGTCCGGGGGCACCTCGTGTCTCTACTGAGGTCCCCAAAGCAAAGGCCCAGTCCCTGGTGATACTCTGTAAAGCTCCCTGCCGTGTGCAGAGCCTGGCATGACTTCAGGCTGCTACGCTCACAGAGGGCACTGGTGCCCTGGAGGATCTGTGTGCCAGCAAGCACTGGGCTGTGCCTAGTGCACCCGAGAACAGCAGCATGCAGTTTGGAAAGGACTTTACAGTTTATAAACACTTGGTCACTTACGGGCAACTTACTGTCTATAATGGAGGTATGTAGTGCCTTACAGTTGACCAAATATGTTACATGGTATGGAGCACCGCATCATTATCAAAAGGCTTTATGGAGGGTCCCATATACTTGGCAAGAACTGTTCTCTATATGAAGAACTTTACAGTTTGCCCTATTGATGGTTTGGAAAGCCCTTTTTCAGTTTACCAGCACAACTTGGTTTGCAAAGAGCTTTTACATTTACCACCTCACTTAACCACGTCTGTGATACGGGCTCACACTCCCACCCATCAGCCTCCCTTCTCCGGCCCTCATGGGGACCACCCAAGACAATGGGTGGGGAAAGGTGTGCCTGCGAGGGTGGGTGGGTAGGATCCTTAGGGCAGTGGAGACCACCAGCCAGCTTTCTCTGGGGTACAGAAGAGGTCGGAGCCCAGCCCTGAGTCCCTGCAGGCTAGCTGGCTGTGCCCTCCAAGAGTGTGGTCTCTGCCCTTAGTGGGGCCGGTGACTGAGAGCAGAGAGCAGCCACTGGTGGGAGCAGAGAATTCAGGGTCTGGGCCGAGAGGGCCCTCAACCCACCCCTCACTCAATGCCAAAGCACCCTCTGCATCCCAACTTAATGCTGGGTGTGCTGTCCCCTCCCTTTTTCTCAGCCAGGCCCTCAGGGACCTCACAGACTCCCCTCCCTCTGCCCTGGCCTAGCCCTGCAGACAGACAAGGCCGGTCAGCCTGGACCCCACTTCCTCATGTGGAAGGCACAGTGTGGCCTGCCCCCTGGGGGGAGCCCCTCCGACCTCTCCCCTCCACGTGTGGGGTCCACACTTCCCAGCTTAACAGCAAAGCCCCTTGCTCTTCAACCCATAGCCCTTCTTGCTAGCGGGAGAGGTGAAGCCACGCCTGGCCAAGGCCCCATAGTGCCTGAGCCGTTGGCAGCACCGGACTGGGTGGGGGTGGGCCTTGTGCAGCCCAGGCCCCTTCCCCAAGTCCCCCCTCCCCCCCAGCCGTGGTCCCCTTCCGCCAGGGCAGGTGAGGGTTGAGAACAGGGTCTGGACCGAGGCGCCCCCCGCCCCATCAACCTGAGCGACGACCTCTGACTTTCAGGCCAGTGCTCCCCAGGCTTCTTCTCCCCGGATGGCTTCAGGCCCTGCCAGGCCTGCCCGGTGGGCACGTACCAGCCTGAGCCTGGGCGCACAGGGTGCTTCCCCTGCGGAGGGGGGCTGCTCACCAAGCACGAGGGCACAGTCTCCTTCCAAGACTGTGAGGCCAAAGGTGAGTCGGCAGGGCTGTGCAGGGACGTTTTCCCTCAACACCTCTCATTTCCCGGGTGGCAGATCTCCAAGGGCAGAGGGGCAGCCCAGGGCTGCCGACAGCGGACACGGTGACCAGCACCGTGCCACAGGCCGCCAGGACAGGGACAGCGGGGTTCCACACAAGCCCACCCGAGGATCTCAGATGGGAGAGCCAGGCAGGCACAGTGGTTACAGACGGGAGCTCTGAGCCTGACTCACAGGAAAGTTTTGGGGGGTGGAGGGGGTGAAGAAATGCAAGGGCGGGCAGGGGCAGTGGCGCGAGGTCAGACGTCTCACCTTACCTGGAGACCCTCCCTTCAGGGCCGTGGGGGTCCTGCTATCTAGCTGCACCTTCCCCTCCATGGTCACCGAGTCCCCCTGATGAGCCTGCCTCCTGCCCTGCCAAGGGCCTCTTCCCACCCACTGACCCTGATATTCTTGGGAACAGACAGAATCCTCCCTTCTAGAAGAGAAAACTCCATCTGCCCTCCAGTTCCTGCCAGGATTTCTCCTCCTTACTCTGAACCTTGTAGAAAGAGTGTCTGGACGCCACTTCCTCTCCCCCCACCCTCTCCCAAACCCCACTACTCAGCCTCTCACCACACTGCCCCCCATCATTGCTCCCATCAAGGCTGGAGCCAAATCGGTTCCCAGCTGGCACCTCCCACAGCCCCGTGGCCCCAGGCCCCACCCAGTCTCACCCACCCACCCCTCACCTGGTAGTGCTGGGGTCCCCGGCCTGGGCACTCACTCTGGAACCTGGAAAGAAAGAGCATCCAGTTGACCCCACTTTCTGTCCCCAGCCCCGCCTCTGTCCTGAACAAGATGCTACACCCTCCTGCCAGGGGACAGCCGCGGTCATATCTAGCAACCCACCTGTCACCCCACGTGGCCAGAGCCCCTCATCTTTGCCGCAAAGTGCCCCCCGCCCCGGCTCACACCAGCTCTGTCCCGCCAGGTGCCCAAGGAGAACTTGCAGTGCCCCCGAGTGCTCTCTCTCTGACCTCACATCCAGTCTGTCCGCAGCCCCAGCCAGCAGCTCTGAGCAATGAGCTCTCAGCGCCCCATTCCTGCCCCCTGAGCCAGGCTACCTGTCCCCCTGCCGCTCCCCCACCCCATCCCCTCCCCAGGGCATCAGACAGGACCATGCAGTGGCTCCAGGTGCCCTCCTCCCTCAGCGCAAAGCCTAGCATGACCCCCTGGCCCCAGGAGCTCGTCCCCGTGGCCTGTGGCCTCCCCTCTGGCCACACCCAGCACGCGCACGGCCCACTCCGGGCCCAGCTTGGCCACTACCTCCGCCCAGATGGCCTCCCAGACAGCTCCACACTACTCAAGCCTCCACTCAAGATCCCTGCGCCCCTTGAGCAGCCCATGCCTGGCCTTACAACATCTCATGCCCCATTTATTGCCCCCCAACACACGCACCTCAGGGGCGGGCCTCGGTCTGCGTGGCTCACTGCCCAGCTCCCGGCGGCCCACCACACTCCGCACGGCTGTGGACAGGGCCAGGACTGCGTGCGGGTGATGGGAGGCCACTGGGTGGTAAAGAAGGGCCTTGAACTCGGGACCAAGACAGACCTCAAGGGCAGGGAGGCGCCAGGGAGAATGCCCCCTGCCCTTTCCCACCTGCCCCCCCACCCCGGCCCACAGTGCACTGCTCCCCGGGCCACCACTACAACACCACCATCCACCGGTGCATCCGCTGCCCCGTGGGCACCTACCAGCCCGAGTTTGGCCAGAACCACTGCATCACCTGCCCAGGCAACACCAGCACGGACTTCGATGGCTCCACCAATGTCACACACTGCAAAAGTAGGTGCAGCTCTCCCCGCAGCCAGGGGGCTGGGAACATGGGGGTGGGCTTGTCGGGGACGGGGTGAGCCCTCACCCCACATGGTGTCCACAGGACCCCGGGGACTCCGCCCGGGGGTCGGAGTCTAGCACATCCGCACGTCTGCTCAGGGTGATGCCCGCACCCCTGTGCCCAGCGGGCTCTGCTCGAGGCTCCGGGTCTGTGGAGGGGAAAGGCAGGCCCACACCGGGGGGTCTGTGGGGCAGCGGCTGAGGGCCAGGCCGCGCTGCTCGGAAGGCACGCATGGCTGGGCTGCCAAGTGGACACAAACCAGCCCGGGGGTCAGGAAGCAAGCATGAAGTGTGGACAGGTGTGGAGGCGCCGGAGGAAGACCAGAGGCCTCCTCATGTCTGTGAGAAGCTCAGTTTAGCCAAAAGAAATGTGGGCAGCATAAGACAATTTGGGAAATAGATAGCCCAGGCCGTCTTTAGCAGTCATCTGGGCATAACAGACTTGACTTTAGATATTTTTAATTCCTTTTTCGGAGTCCTCTGGGACAGATTTTCTGGTATTGTACCCTTCCCCTAATCAATTTCTAGCCAGTTACCCCTTTCCTGGGCTGCTGGTCATGTCTGGGACAGCCCAAAGGGCCATGAAGGGAACTTAATCCTAGAGCCGGGAGCTGCCCACTTCCCCGGGACATCCCCTGGGGCTCGTGGCCTCTGGGGACAAAAGAGCAGGCACCGTGGTGGGGCTCCACAGAGACAGGGTTTTAAATGTTCTTGTGAATAAAAGTGGAGAAAGCAAATAGGAGGGAAGCTTCTGGAAGGTAAGGTAAACATGAAATGCTTCCCAGAAATTTTGATGTTAAGTGTTTTATAAATGAAAAGGTGTAAGAAAATTATGTACATTTAGTATTTCCGTTCCGTTCTCTTTGCAGACCTAAGGTGTAAGGGTGAGGGTAGGAGCATTTAGCTCATAAAGATGTCGCGTTTGGCCTCTTGAGGATTACGAAGCTTAGCTACCAAAGGAAAGAAAGGGAAGCATGTCTCTTTTTCCTCACTGTGCTGCCTGTGTGTCCCCGAGCCTTCCTGCTTGGTGGGGAGGGCGACCACACCGGCACCTGGCGGACGCTGAGCGTGGAGTGCGTGGAGGGAAAGGGGGGGTGGGGTCCCACTGAGTGGGGGGCTTTCATGCGGGCCACCTGCAGGAGCAGGGCTGGCAGGGGAGCTGGCACCGGGTGGGCCGGCCCCAGGGCGCCTCCCCCCCACCAGGAAGATGACCCTGTGAGATGAGCGGCCCAGGGCCAAGCTGGCCGGGGCGGGGCGGGGGGCGGGGGACCCTGGGTGGAGGTGGGCCGCGGGGCCGTCGAGGGCCCGCCCTCCACGTCCCCCGTGCAGCCGGCCTGAGCAGGCCCGTGGGGCCCCGGTGCCCGCAGACCAGCACTGCGGCGGCGAGCTCGGCGACTACACAGGCTACATCGAGTCCCCCAACTACCCCGGCGACTACCCGGCCAACGCCGAGTGCGTGTGGCACATCTCGCCGCCCCCCAAGCGCAGGATCCTCATCGTGGTCCCCGAGATCTTCCTGCCCGTGGAGGACGAGTGTGGTGACGTCCTGGTCATGAGGAAGAGCGGTACGCACGGGTCAAGGCAGGGCAGCAGAGGGGCGCCCAGGGTCAGCCGCGGGGCGGGTTCGCAGCCCACCTCCTGCTACCTCTGAGGCTCGGGGGCACACGCACAAGATGCCCCAGGGTCAGACAGCCTGTCCCTTCCCCTCTGGGAGTCCCGGCCTCCTGGCCTGTCACCCCTGTCCAGGGGCCAAGAGCAGCGGGCCGCGGCCCTCAGCAGTGGGTGAGGGCAAGTGTGTGCCCAGATGGCCGCAGCAGCGAGAAAGGCGGGAAAGCCCCCGAGCCCCCCAGGAACCAGGTCGAGTCCCTAACAGCATGTGCGCAGGCCAGGACCCCTCCGGGCTGCTGTCAGGCCCCAGTGCCCCCAGGGAGCACGCCGCAAGTGCCAACGTCAGGGAAGAAGGAGGCGGATGCGCGCGGACGCAGAACACTCCCGCCCACTTGGGTCTGGAATGTGTGTGAGGCACAGAGACTAAGCGCAGGAGAGGAGGTTGAGCGAGTTTCTTCTCCACTCTATTCCCTTTGTTCTTTGTTACCATATGCGAGCCTCGCCCACTCCCTGTCTCTGATAAGCCAGGAAGCCTGAGGCCAGAAAGGGGAGGGAGCCTGCCCAGGATGCCACAGCCGGTCAGAGCCCAGCCGGAGACCATCCTCCCCGCCGCCTCTGTCACCAGCCTCCCGAGTCCCCAACATCCTCCCCTCCACTGTCTGCCCACGGGGTTGAGCTCTAGGGGGTCAGCTTCTCCCGCCTCCAGGGCATCTCAGGAAGGCTCCCCAGGGAGCAGTGAGGAGGTGGGGCACCCTTTGGACAGCCCCATGCACCCCAAGGTCAGCACGCTCACCCTTGTTCGTCTGCTCATAGGGAGAGGGGACTTCCCAAATGGGGTCCCCCACCCCAGGCCTGGCTTGTGCTGGGTGTGGGCATGAGCCCTATCCTGGAGGAGCAGTTGGCTGGAGAAAGACAGTGACAACTCAGCAGAGAGGAGCAGTGACAAAGGGTTCACCAGGGCAGAGCAGGAACATGGTAGTGCGAGGACGGAGCGGTTCGGGGAGGCTTCCTGGAGGAGGAGACACAGAAACCTGCTCTGCAGGCTGAGTAGGAACTGGGGTTGAAGGTGGGGACTGGCATCTGGGGCAGAGACTAGAGCTGGACTGTTTGGGGGACTGGGCATGGGAGCTGGGCGGCTGACCAGGTGGGGGAAAGCACGTGGCCTGAGGAAGGAGGACAGGGGCCAGGTGCAGGGATGTGGGTCAGCCAGCCGCTCAGCCCCCCTGCTCTGTCCCCAGCATCACCCACATCTATCACCACCTATGAGACCTGCCAGACCTATGAGAGGCCCATCGCCTTCACCTCCCGCTCCCGGAAGCTCTGGATCCAGTTCAAATCCAATGAAGGCAACAGCGGCAAAGGATTCCAAGTGCCCTATGTCACCTATGACGGTCAGTGTGGCTGCACTGTGTCTGGCCCTGCAGACCCAGAGGCAACAGACACATATGGGGTGGGGAGTGGTGCAGATGAGGGAGCCATGAGTGGTGTCTGCGGCCTTCAGCGTGATGTACTGCCCAAGCAGGGTTTTGAGGGTTGACTAGGAGTTTCTAGCTAGCCAAACCTCGAGGTCAATTTGGGTGGAGGATACAGGTTTGGAGGCAGAACTGCCTCTGGCCAAGGTCTGAAGTCTGAATGTGGAGCAGGGGAAGGCAGAGGCTGAAGGTGAGGGGGAAGCAGGCAGGGTGTGGCACCTTCACGTTCCTTCCTTCCCTGCTGGTGGGTTTCACAGAGGACTACCAGCAGTTGATAGAAGATATCGTTCGCGATGGACGGCTCTACGCCTCGGAGAATCACCAGGAAATTTTAAAAGTGAGTGAACTTCCTTATGGCAAACAGTCCATGTGATCCCAGGATGGTGACCTGTGATGATCCAGGGCATCTGTCCCTGCAGACCAGGAGGGCCGAGACAAGCTCCCTGGTGGCGTCTAGCCCAGGACCTGGTGACTGGTCTTTGGGCTCCTCACCAGCTGCCAGCCTCACTTCCCTCATCTGTGAAACATGGTGGGAGCTTAAAATCAGTAGAATCCGCCCCCACCTTTGGGACTGCCTGCCTCGTCATCTTCCTCGTGGCCTTAAGAAGCAGAGCCACCTTGTCATCGAGGGCACTGTGTCTGTCACGCGGCAGGCACTGGCCAGCTCAGGGCCCCGACCCAGGGATTTGCTCGGGCTCTGGGGGTCTGGCCCTGGCTCGGCATCTGGGAAGATAGCACTCCCAGCCTGGGAGCTGAGGTGGGCGGGGCTAGGGCAGGGTTGGGTCCCCTGGCTGTCACGTCCCAAGTGGGTGGTCCTGGGCAAGCCCTCTGAGAAACCAGGGGTGGCTCGCCGAGTGTGGGTCTTCCAGCCCCGGGGCTGGCACAGTCCTGCACACAGTAGGCAGCTTGTAAGCAGAGAGCTTCCCCCCCAATGCTACTGCACCAGGAGCAGAGCTGGAGATTCTAGAGCCCGTCTGTGTAGTGGGAACCGGAAGGTCGTGCTGGCCTCTCCATCGGTCCATCCTGCAGACAATGCCGTCTCCCCTCCTTGCCCCTCCCCTGCCGCCCTGGCCCTCTGCGCACGGCTCCACCCTGCAGCCTTGCAGAGCTAGAAGTGTTTCCATCACTTAGGACAAAAACCTTGGCCCTCGAGGCCCGGCCGGGGATGGCCCCCACCTGCCTCTGAAGCTGTTCAGCTTCTCTCCCTCTCCCTCTGCCCCTCCCCCAATCATGTGGGCTCTCTCTAAATATATAAATAAATCTTTAAAAAAAAAAAAAAAAAACAGGGCTCCTGGTTGGCTCAGTCGGTTAAGCGTCTGCCTTCGGCTCAGGTCATGACCCCGAAGTCCTGGGATCGAAACTCGCGTTGGGCTCCCTGCTCTGCGGGGAGCCTGCTTCTCCCTCTCCCTCTGCCTGCCGCTCCCCCTGCTTGTGCTCTCTATCTCTCTGTCAAATAAATAAATAAAATCTTTTTTAAAAAAATCAAAAAACAATTCATGGGGAAGAGAGTCTGTGGGGTCTTCCTCCCCTTCCTTGCAGACATCCCACAGGCCCCTCCAGGGCCCCAGATACTGAAGAGGCCCACAGCCCCGGGCCCCTGCGCGGCCTCACCCCCCACCTCACCGTGTCTTGCAGGACAAGAAGCTCATCAAGGCCCTCTTTGATGTGTTGGCGCATCCCCAGAACTACTTCAAGTACACAGCCCAGGAGTCCAAGGAGATGTTCCCGCGGTCCTTCATCAAACTGCTGCGCTCCAAAGTGTCCCGATTCCTGCGGCCCTACAAATAATGCCCTGCTCGGGGATGGCGGGTGTCCCGACGGGGAGGGGAGCGTGCCTTCCCTCCACAGGAGAGGCTAGAAGGCGGCTCCGCGGGCCTCCACACTCTGCCTTGGGAAGCCACCACGGCGTCTGCCCTTCGGAAACACGGACCAGCCCGTGGGGGTGAGACCACGTCCAGGCCGAGACCCCGGCCCGCCGCACTCCTCGGATGGCCCCACTGGGAAAAACACTGCGGCTTTTCTCCCTCGCTCCCTCTGCCTGTTCGATTCCAGGACAGCAGCCTCTCCTGAGCGGCACTAGAGGACCCACCCGGGGCCAGGACACCCTGTGCACAGCCAGGTCCTGGGCAGAGAGCACATTTGGGGGGGGGTGGCACGTGGCCTTACCTGACACCTCAGGAGGGGGGAGGCGTGGCTGCCTCTGTCCCCAGGCAAGCTCTGGGAGGCATCATCTGAGACAGGAAGCCAGGCTGCAGGGGGAGGGGTGTGGGAAGGCGTCTGGGGAGCTTTGATAAGCCAGTGTCTGCACCTGCAAGGCATCCACACCCCACCCCACTCCGCCGGCCACGGGCCCGGGACACAGGCGCCATGTGGTGAGGCTCTAAGGATTCTGTGGTGGGACAGAAAAGAGCTGCTAGCGGAGGAAACTGTAGATCTGTGCTTTCCCTTGATAGAGCATCTAATTAAGTACTATATATATATATAACTATAAATATAAATATAATATACTTCTATTTGTGGGTATTTTAGGAAAATCCTCTTTAGTAACTATAAATATGAAATGCAACCCTGCCTCTTCCCTCACAGGCTGTTGCCAGCATCCCTGAGTGATTAACCGCCCCGCCAGGTGCTTGCCACCGGTTTATGTGAGGCCGGGAGCCTGCAGGATGGGGAGAAGGCAGGCTGGTTCTGGACACACTCTGGAATACACATTCTTGGGGAACTAGGCTCCGATGCTTTGCTGGAGTGTTGCCCTCAGATAGAATGTGGTAGAAGGCAGTTTCCCCGTGGGCCCTTTCCTGTGGGTCCAGGGGCCCAGCAGTAAACTTCGAAAGGGGCCTGTGCTGACCCTGAGGCCATGACCTTGGGGTCTGTGCCGTGGCCTCGTGCCACAGGGAAACAAGGCCTTCCCCACGTGAGCACAGGCTGTGCCACTGCGAGAGGCCTCAGAGGGCAGGTGGCCAGCTTCCGGAGGCCGGGCCCTGAGAGTGCTGTCTTCTTTCTGCCGCGCCACGCTGCGCCCCTCGGAGAGTCTGTCTTTAAAGAAGAGAAGTCCAGAGTCTGACCCGGTTGCATGGTGTCCCCCTCAGCCAGGAAGCCCGTGCCAGGATAGAGCCAGAAATCTCCCCGCAGCGCTGAGGCCTCGCCTGCCGGCCACCACCCATGTGACGTGCATGGGAAGCGGTCTGTATCTTTAGGGTTAACAAATGTTCACAATTCCAAGAAACATGGGAGAATCTTAAAATGAAGCCCAGTCACCCGTCCCAGGTGCCCCTAGGCTGTGCCCTCCTCCTGCCCCCACACCCACGCTGAGCGAAGGGCATGGTTTGAGACCCGTCCATGGCACGCTGCAGATGGTGAAGCCTGGGGCCGGGCAAGTGGGGTCTGGGGGTCGATGACAAGGGAGGCCAGGACAGTTTCACAATCCAGAACAGGGCTGGGAGCTCAGAAATCGTTCCCTGCCGCCGCCCACGTCAGCAACGGCAAGTCCCTAGTTTGAGGAACGCTCTGCCGCCGGCGCCTTTTCTGCCAACATCCAACTCAGGTCAGGAAGGGGCCTGGTGGGCAGGTCGGTGTGAGCCCTGAGCCCTGTCTGGGCCCACACCACCCTTCCCTGGTCACGGGCCGTGAAGGCCAGCCTCAGCTTCCAGCAAGACGCCTGTCTTCCCGCCCAAGCCATTGCGCATCCCCAGAAATTACACGAGTGTCCTCCAGAACGGCCCTGAACAGCAACCACCCAGGGGAGAGGACAGGGAGGGGTTTTTTAATAATGTTCTCAAAACAGGACCAGAAGGGCTCTAACCTTTCTTGAACGCTTCCTGCTGCCCCTCTGGGTGGTTTCGGGCAGTCGCCACCCACAAACCGCCCTAATCCACTGGCCCTTCCGGTGGGAGCCCACCCATGTCCTGTGGCTCTCCCCACCATTGTGGTCAGACCTGCCCGCTGTTCCCCCAACAGAGCAGGACAGATGTGGGGCCCCTCACCCTCACAAGTACCAGGAAGCCACCCCAATTTGCCAGCTGCCGACACATCGCCATCAGCCCCCGCCCCACCATCAGGGGCACTCAGAGTCCAGGAGTGGGGTTTGTCCTTCATCTTGATGTCAGCCCTGAGCCCCACCCTGGGGAACTTGAGGGTCCCACTGTTAAAGCCAGCGCTGTCCCCGGTCGTCGGAGCCCAGTGGCCGTGGGAGAGCTCCCTGGGCAACAAAGCACGTTTGTCCATGTTCCCGTGTTGTGGAAGCTGGTGGCAGGGCTCGAGATGTGGAGGGGCTGAGCCAGAAGGAGCACACCCCCCTCGTGGATGGGACGTTGGCCTCAAGCGGCCCCAGCCCAGCCACTGTCGCCCCTCACCTGGAACGGACCCTCAGCGGCTGGCCAGTCAATAAACTCCAAGGAACAGAGCTAAGGAAGAAGCTTCTGGAAGCAAAATCTTGCCCACTGGGCCGGGACTGAAAGGGGCCAAGGCCTGGAAGTCCTGAGGAGCTTGGCTCTGCTCCTTGCGGGGCAGCCGGGGACGCTCTCTGAGGATGGCAGTGGAAGACCAAGGGGGCCCCCCCACCCCGGGTGCCTGACGACGGCAGTCAGGTGGGACCCAGGACTGGTGGATCCTGGAAGAAGCCCTCTGCCCCGCACCCCTGGCATCTCCTGGTCTCTGCTTCCGTGGAAACATGCCGAGGAAAAGAAGAGACTCTGCCTCAGTTCCAGTGGCCAGCTGGGCCCTCAGCGAGTGAGCACTGGGGTCACCTCATCTGCCTCCGAATTAGGCTATTTTCCCAGCTATGCTCTTGCCTGAGCCAGGGCCTTGCAGCTACGGTGTTGTGCTGGCCCCCCCCCCCCCCCCCGCTCTCCACTTAGTCTCGACTCGCCCCAGCAGGTGGCCTGGGCCAGTGGTGACCTCGCTCTGCCCAGCTCTAGCTCCCCAGGGGCAGTCTTTGCCAGTCCCTCCTCACCTCTGTGGTGACAGAATTAAGGGGGGGTGGGGCCCAAGGTGGCGACCTCAAGACAGCTGTCCCTCCTGCCATCCGTTGGTTGGGGACACGCAGATGAAGTAGAACCGTAACCCGGGCCAGAAAGTCACCAGAGATAAATGGCCCCAAGAGGCCGCTTCTGAGAGCCCAAAGACAGAACTTCTTTCCTTCAACCTCTTAAAACCCATGTTTCCCACCGGAACCTTTGTTCCCCGGGGGACACAGCCAAGATCAGCCATTTTCCACGACAATAGGCCCCAGCCTGCTGGAGCTAGAGTGGGGGTCTGAGTGACATTTGGGGGGTTGGATAATTACGCAAACGTCTCCACCCACCACCTTCAGCAGGAAAATAAGATACTGAGCTAAGTTAGGTCATTTAGCAAACATTTGCTGAGCGCTTACTGTGTGCCAGGCTCCTAGGAAGGAGAGACCACAGCCGTGGGGCTGGCAGAATCCCCGGCAAAGTCCCTCTTGGTCCCAGCGATAAAGGAGATTGAGGCTGGCCTGGGGGTGGACAGAGCCCAGTGCTCCTCCAGAGAAGGCACTCCGTCCTTCCAGCGCCTCCCAGCGCCCCAGGTGGGGATGGAGGGCGTCGACAGAGGGCAGAGCCGAGCAGGGGTCGCCGGAGGCGTCCCGAAGTCCATCTCCCAAAGGAGGAACTGCCGCCCGCCCGGCCTCACCATGTGGCCGCCCTCCCCCCAACCCCCGGCAGAGAGCTACACGGAGAAGAGCGCAGCCACCATGCCAGGACGGCAACCTCCACCCCGCGCAAGAGGCCCCTTTCTTCACCACGGATCCACATGGTGGCCACTCAGCCCTTCTGACCCGGGTGACAGCGCCGACCTCATTCAGGCCAATGGCAGAAGGACCAGCGTTTGAGAGACACCACCCGTCCACAAGGAGAGTCAAAGCCGCCAGCTCCTCTCCTCCCGTGGCTGCCTCTGGAGGCGCTAGTTCTGAGCACCTGCTGTATGCCAGACACAGGTGTGGGAGCGGAGCTGGAGTCACCGTATCCAGCTTGCTTCTTGGAGGGGGCGGCAGGAGGGGGCAGGCCATCCCCAGGCCCAGACGCCGCAAGCATGGCCATGCGTTCCCTCCCAGCACCCTGCACAGATGGCCCCCAAAGAGCAGGACCCTCTGTTTCTCTGAGGCCCTAGATGGGCCCCTCAAGTCTCAAGAGGAAGCAGTGAAAGGCCTGAGTCCCCCAGTCGCCAGGCTCTGAGGGGCAATCCCTAGGGCCCTGCGAGGCGGGTGGGGCCTGACGCTCCTCCGACGCGGAGGGCGAGACTCTAGGAGGCCCAGTGGCATGCCCCTGGCGAACAGCTAGTAGTTGGCAGAATGGAGACTCAAACCCAAGCCCATCGAAACCCAAGCTAGGAGACGTCTGTCTGTGGGATGTTGACGACTGAATTGTATGGATTGGGAATGCGCTGGGGAGCTCCGGGGCAGGGACGTGGCAGGTAGGGAGGACGGAGGTGGAGGAGCGTGGACGTAGTGACCTCCCCTCCCTCTGGAACAAGCGCCAAACTCAGAGGAAGGCCGGCTTCTGCCTTCTCCCCGGCGTGGACAGGATGGAAGTGTCCGTTCAGACTCGGGCCCGCAGGCCAAGCACGGCCCTGCGCACCCCCAGAGAGATGCTGTGCGCCCCCCGTCGGCCCCTCTCGCAGGCTCCGGCGCACAAACATGAGACAACGTGGGTGTCCCTCGGCAGACCGTGGGCTGGAAAGTAGGGGCACAAAGAGAGCTCACTGGTGCCCAGGACTTTGTTTTCCAGTTCAGAGGCCATGTAGATCCCCAAGAAATGTCTTAGTCCACTGAGATCAGAACCTTGAACAGTCTGAGCAGACCCAGTCCATACCGCTTGTGAAATGGGATATCTGAACACCACTGGGGGGCCCGGGAGGAGGGGGAGGGGGGCAGGGGAGGCGGGGAGGGGAGCAGAGCGCTGGGCCCTTGTTCCCCCACCCTCCGCTTTGGGTTCTGTGAAGGCGCTGTACAGTCCAGGCATTCTGGCAACCCTTCTGTCTACAAGGTGACAAATATCGGCGCAATCATGTTTTTATTTTGGTTGCCTCGAATATTCAAGGTTTTGTCTTCTCCTTCCTGTTCATACATATGCATGTAATTAAACGTTTGTGGAAATTACTTTAATAATAAACAGGAAACGAACTTAAATGTTGCTCCTTTCTCGCATTCATCAGAGGTCATGATCCGGGGTAGAAAGGGGGAAGAAAGAACTAGAATCAGAAAAAAAAATCTTTTCAAACAT